TCCCATCCTGTTCATACCTAGGAAGTCCGCCCCCCCCCCCATAAGGACTAACATTACATGTCCAAGGTTTGCTCTGCTTGGTGCCAAGAAAGAAACTTTCATCCAGAACGTACTTTGTGGGACAAATTCTGACCTTTTTGCAGTTGGTAGGAGGTTTGTAGAAGGTGTCTCATGGTGCCCCTCCTGGTACTCGGTGGGTGTCTCATGGGGCCCCTCCTGTGACTCGGTGGGTGTCTCATGGGGCCCCTCCTGTGACTCGGTGGGATTTTAAATTTGGTTCTGTTGGCACTTCAAAAGTCTACCTTTTGAACTCATTAGAGTTGCCGTTGTCCTTACATCTAATGGATCCCAGTGCCGTTGTCCTTACATCTAATGGATCCCAGTGCCGTTGTCCTTACATCTGATGGATCCCAGTGCCGTTGTCCTTACATCTGATGGATCCCAGTGCCGTTGTCCTTACATCTGATGGATCCCAGTGCCGTTGTCCTTACATCTGATGGATCCCAGTGCCGTTGTCCTTACATCTGATGGATCCCAGTGACGTTGTCCTTACATCTGATGGATCCCAGTGCCGTTGTCCTTACATCTGATGGATCCCAGTGCCGTTGTCCTTACACCTGATGGATCCCAGTGCCGTTGTCCTTACATCTGATGGATCCCAGTGCCGTTGTCCTTACATCTAATGGATCCCAGTGCTAATGATGGATTGGATGGGGGGAGAAGGGACTAATGAATGGCGGTGATCGTTCAGGCAGGATATAAAGGCCGGCTCACGGTAGCTGCTGCAGCTTCGAGGGTTACATTGGGGAGATGCGAGTTTACAAGGGGTAAGGCTTGGAGTTCACACAGGTCCCACCTCTCTGTGACCGGCTGAAGCATTGTGGGAGTTCTGTGTTCCGGCGGTCCTCCTGAAGGTGGCAGTATAACCCATTTGTCTGATTGGTAACTGGCTTCCAGTAACACATATGACGGTGAGCAGGAGGCTCGGATCGCTGCCGCCGCTCTATGATTAGACGTGTCCATACACACTTCCATGAGGGCAAATTGCTGCGCTGCTTGACGTGTGCGGTTTCTGTGTTGCAGGGCATTGTGGGAAATCTCTCCAGTGGGAAATCTGCGTTGGTTCATCGATATCTGACCGGGACGTATGTTCAGGAAGAGTCACCAGAAGGTCAGTGAATCCAGATTGTTGTGTCCCAATGAGGGCGAGGTGTCATACATATGTGTGCGTGTGTCATACATATCTGTGTGCGTGTGTCATATATATCTGTGTGCGTGTGTCATATATATTGTATACACATTACAGAGTGTGGAGAAATAACCAGACAACGCTCCTCTCTGTACAGTCCTCTGTCCCTCCCCCTTGTCCGGTGTCCCCTCCTGTGTCCCTCCCCCTTGTCCGGTGTCCCCTCCTGTGTTCCTCCCCCTTGTCCGGTGTCCCCTCCTGTGTTCCTCCCCCTTGTCCGGTGTCCCCTCATGTGTTCCTCCCCTTTGTCCGGTGTCCCCTCCTGTGTTCCTCCCCCTTGTCCGGTGTCCCCTCCTGTGTTCCTCCCCCTTGTCCGGTGTCCCCTCCTGTGTTCCTCCCCCTTGTCCGGTGTCCCCTCCTGTGTTCCTCCCCCTTGTCCGGTGTCCCCTCCTGTGTTCCTCCCCCTTGTCCGGTGTCCCCTCCTGTGTTCCTCCCCCTTGTCCGGTGTCCCCTCCTGTGTTCCTCCCCCTTGTCCGGTGTCCCCTCCTGTGTTCCTCCCCCTTGTCCGGTGTCCCCTCCTGTGTTCCTCCCCCTTGTCCGGTGTCCCCTCCTGTGTTCCTCCCCCTTGTCCGGTGTCCCCTCCTGTGTTCCTCCCCCTTGTCCGGTGTCCCCTCCTGTGTTCCTCCCCCTTGTCCGGTGTCCCCTCCTGTGTTCCTCCCCCTTGTCCGGTGTCCCCTCCTGTGTTCCTCCCCCTTGTCCGGTGTCCCCTCCTGTGTTCCTCCCCCTTGTCCGGTGTCCCCTCCTGTGTTCCTCCCCCTTGTCCGGTGTCCCCTCCTGTGTTCCTCCCCCTTGTCCGGTGTCCCCTCCTGTGTTCCTCCCCCTTGTCCGGTGTCCCCTCCTGTGTTCCTCCCCCTTGTCCGGTGTCCCCTCCTGTGTTCCTCCCCCTTGTCCGGTGTCCCCTCCTGTGTTCCTCCCCCTTGTCCGGTGTCCCCTCCTGTGTTCCTCCCCCTTGTCCGGTGTCCCCTCCTGTGTTCCTCCCCCTTGTCCGGTGTCCCCTCCTGTGTTCCTCCCCCTTGTCCGGTGTCCCCTCCTGTGTTCCTCCCCCTTGTCCGGTGTCCCCTCCTGTGTTCCTCCCCCTTGTCCGGTGTCCCCTCCTGTGTTCCTCCCCCTTGTCCGGTGTCCCCTCCTGTGTTCCTCCCCTTTGTCCGGTGTCCCCTCCTGTGTTCCTCCCCCTTGTCCGGTGTCCCCTCCTGTGTTCCTCCCCCTTGTCCGGTGTCCCCTCCTGTGTTCCTCCCCCTTGTCCGGTGTCCCCTCCTGTGTTCCTCCCCCTTGTCCGGTGTCCCCTCCTGTGTTCCTCCCCCTTGTCCGGTGTCCCCTCCTGTGTTCCTCCCCCTTGTCCGGTGTCCCCTCCTGTGTTCCTCCCCTTTGTCCGGTGTCCCCTCCTGTGTTCCTCCCCTTTGTCCGGTGTCCCCTCCTGTGTTCCTCCACTTTGTCCGGTGTCCCTCTCCTGTGTTCCTCCACTTTGTCCGGTGTCCCCTCCTCTGTTCCTCCCCTTTGTCCGGTGTCCCCTCATGTGTTCCTCCACTTTGTCCGGTGTCCCCTCCTGTGTTCCTCCCCTTTGTCCGGTGTCCCCTCCCCCTTGCCTGTTGTCCCCTCCCCCTTTGCCCTCCCCTCTCCCAGGTTACTGTCCTTCATCTCCTCTTCTTCCTCCTGCAGGTGGTCGGTTTAAGAAGGAGATTGTGGTGGACGGACAGAGTTACCTCCTGCTGATCAGAGATGAGGGCGGGCCCCCGGAGATGCAGGTGTGGTGCTTCTTCTGGGACTGACGGGTGGTCCGTGGTGTCCGGACTCTACTCATCGGAGGTCTTCTTCTCTCTTGCAGTTTGCCACCTGGGTGGACGCCGTCGTCTTTGTCTTCAGCCTGGAGGACGAGATCAGTTTCCAGACCGTCTTCAATTACTACGCCCGCCTGTCCAGCTACCGCAACACCGCTGACGTGCCCATGGTGCTCGTAGGGACACAAGGTACTCCTCATCCGGGGCCACAATGGTGCTCGTAGGGACACAAGGTACTCCTCATCCGGGGCCACAATGGTGCTCGTAGGGACACAAGGTACTCCTCATCCGGGGCCACAATGGTGCTCGTAGGGACACAAGGTACTCCTCATCCGGGGCCACAATGGTGCTCGTAGGGACACAAGGTACTCCTCATCCGGGGCCACAATGGTGCTCGTAGGGACACAAGGTACTCCTCATCCGGGGCCACAATGGTGCTCGTAGGGACACAAGGTACTCCTCATCCGGGGCCACAATGGTGCTCGTAGGGACACAAGGTACTCCTCATCCGGGGCCACAATGGTGCTCGTAGGGACACAAGGTACTCCTCATCCTTCGTAGTGGTAGAAGGTCCTCCTCCTCCTCATCCGGGGCCCCAATGGTGCTCGTAGGGACACAAGGTACTCCTCATCCTCATCCGGGGCCACAATGGTGCTCGTAGGGACACAAGGTACTCCTCGTAGGGACACAAGGTACTCCTCATCCGGGGCCCCAATGGTGCTCGTAGGGACACAAGTGTGGGGGAGGGGAGCAGTGGACTCCCTGTGTAGCTATGAGTATACACTCTCTGACTGGTGGGGGAGGGGAGCAGTGGACTCCCTGTGTAGCTATGAGTATACACTCTCTGACTGGTACGTGTAGTGTGGGGGAGGGGAGCAGTGGACTCCCTGTGTAGTTATGAGTATACACTCTCTGACTGGAGGGGGAGCAGAGCAGCCAATCGGATTGTTTGGGGGAGGGACTTGGATGTCCTCTTAGTGATGTTGAATTTCCTCCTCAGATGCCATCAGTGCCACCAACCCGCGAGTGATCGATGACGTCCGGGCGCGGAAACTGTCCAATGACCTGAAGCGCTGCACCTACTACGAGACCTGCGCCACGTACGGCCTGAATGTGGAGCGCGTCTTCCAGGATGGTGAGTTCCGCGTCTCACTTCCTGTCCCCCCAATATAACCCCTCCCAGCTCTGAGGACAGCCCAGTATGACCCCTCCCACTCCCAGCTGTAAGGATAAGCCAATATGACCCCTCCCACTGCCAGCTGTAAGGACAGCCCAGTATGACCCCTCCCACTGCCAGCTGTAAGGACAGCCCAGTATGACCCCTCCCACTGCCAGCTGTAAGGATAAGCCAATATGACCCCTCCCACTGCCAGCTGTAAGGACAGCCCAGTATGACCCCTCCCACTGCCAGCTGTAAGGACAGCCCAGTATGACCCCTCCCACTCCCAGTGGTGAAGACAGCCCAGTATGACCCCTCCCACTCCCAGCGGTGAGGACAGCCCAGTATGACCCCTCCCACTCCCAGCTGTGAGGACAGCCCAGTATGACCCCTCCCACTCCCAGCTGTAAGGATAGCCCAGTATGACCCCTCCCACTCCCAGCTGTCGGATAGCCCAGTATGACCCCTCCCACTCCCAGTGGGGAAGACAGCCCAGTATGACCCCTCCCACTCCCAGTGGTGAGGACAGCCCAGTATGACCCCTCCCACTCCCAGCTGTAAGGAGAACCCAGTATGACCCCTCCCAGCTGTAAGGAGAACCCAGTATGACCCCTCCCACTCCCAGCTGTGAGGACAGCCCAGTATGACCCCTCCTACTCCCAGCTGTAAGGACAGCCCAGTATGACCCCTCCTACTCCCAGCTGTAAGGACAGCCCAGTATGACCCCTCCTACTCCCAGCTGTAAGGACAGCCCAGTATGACCCCTCCTACTCCCAGCTGTAAGGACAGCCCAGTATGACCCCTCCTACTCCCAGCTGTAAGGACCGCCCAGTATGACCCCTCCTACTCCCAGCTGTAAGGACAGCCCAGTATGACCCCTCCTACTCCCAGCTGTAAGGACAGCCCAGTATGACCCCTCCTACTCCCAGTTGTAAGGACCGCCCAGTATGACCCCTCCTACTCCCAGCTGTAAGGACAGCCCAGTATGACCCCTCCTACTCCCAGCTGTAAGGACAGCCCAGTATGACCCCTCCTACTCCCAGCTGTAAGGACAGCCCTGTTGTAGGACAGTCCTGCATAACCCCTCCTACTCTTGTCAGGAATTGAGGGGAGATTCAGGACGGCCCCCCTCCCGTACTCTGCACTTGGTACGTCCCGTGTCCTCTGCTGACTGTCTGATGTCTCCTTGTTTTCAGTGGCTCAGAAGGTTATTCATGAGGTGACCCCGGGGTATGATTCATGAGGTGACCCCGGGGTATGATTCATGAGGTGACCCCGGGGTACCTAGAAGGTTGAGATCCCTCAGAAGTGGTGACATTGTGTGACGGGGACTGTTCCCACCCGCTCCACACTACGATGAGTGACTCTCCAGCGGCCAATCACGCGATGCCACCTCTGACCACGTTCCCCGAGCAGATTTGGTGAGGGTCAGGTGACCTCGTGGTGTTTTGTCTCTTTGGATGGAGAGAAAGGTGGTTGATGGCCTCTGGAGCCGTAGCCACGTGTGGGACCAGGATGGTCTGCCCGGTCCAGAGGTCACCCGTATTCTGTCCAGTAGTCACCTCGTATATGACAAGGCTCACCGGAGACCGCCAATCATCCCGGTCTTTATATTTGCTGTATATCGGGATCCCGATGATGTCACACACTCGCTGTAAATGTCCTTTTATCATTCCTTACAAATGCTGGCCCAGCTGTACTGCCTGCTTCCCGTATATGGAGGTTTAGCCCTCCTTCACACCGGAACGTTTTGTGGCGGGTTCTACGCTCGGCGAACGCTCTACAAAACGCTCAAACATCTAAATCGCATCGTATTCAATGTTCTGGTTCCCACCTCGGCGTATTCCTGCCCGTCCCTAACGCCCTACAAAGCGGCCCACGCCTGAAAAGGTCCAGGAGCTACTTTGGGCCGTTTTGTAGGGCGTTTTCCATTGCGATACAGCCAAGTAGCCTTCGGAATCGCGCAACTTTTTTTACCGCTAATCGCGGTAAAAAAAAAAGAGCGACGGTCGCGCGACAGACGCACATATTACAATACGCCTAGGTGTGAATGGGGCCTTAAAGGCTGGCAGTCCTTGCATTGGGCAGGCCTGGTATTTGGTGGTCTTGGCATTGGGCAGGCCTGGTATTTGGTGGTCTTGGCATTGGGCAGGCCTGGTATTTGGTGGTCTTGGCATTGGGCAGGCCTGGTATTTGGTGGTCTTGGCATTGGGCAGGCCTGGTATTGGGCGGTCTTGGCATTGGGCAGGCCTGGTATTGGGCGATCTTGGCATTGGGCAGGCCTGGTATTGGGCGATCTTGGCATTGGGCAGGCCTGGTATTGGGCGATCTTGGCATTGGGCAGGCCTGGTATTTGGTGGTCTTGGCATTGGGCAGTCTTGGTATTTGGCGGTCTTGGCATTGGGCAGGCCTGTTATTTGGTGGTCTTGGCATTGGGCAGTCTTGGTATTTGGTGGTCTTGGTATTTGGCGGTCTTGGCATTGGGCAGGCCTGGTATTGGGCAGTCTTGGCATTGGGCAGGCCTGGGATTAGGTGGTCTTGGCATTGGGCAGGCCTGGTATTTGGTGGTCTTGGCATTGGGCAGGCCTGGTATTTGGTGGTCTTGGCATTGGGCAGGCCTGGTATTTGGTGGTCTTGGCATTGGCCAGGCCTGGTATTTGGTGGTCTTGGCATTGGGCAGGCCTAGTATTGGGCGGTCTTGGCACTGGGCAGGCCTAGTATTGGGTGGTCTTGGCATTGGACAGGCCTGGTATTTGGTGGTCTTGGCATTGGGCAGGCCTGGTATTGGGCGGTCTTGGCATTGGGCAGGCCTGGTATTGGGTGGTCTTGGCATTGGGCAGGCCTGGTATTTGGTGGTCTTGGCATTGGGCAGGCCTGGTATTGGGTGGTCTTGGCATTGGGCAGGCCTGGTATTTGGTGGTCTTGGCATTGGGCAGGCCTGGTATTAGGTGGTCTTGGCATTGGGCAGGCCTGGTATTGGGCGGTCTTTGCATTGGGCAGGCCTGGTATTGGGCGGTCTTGACATTGGGCGGTCTTGACATTGGGCGGTCTTGACATTGGGCAGTCTTGGTATTGGGCGGTCTTGACATTGGGCAGTCTTGACATTGGGCGGTCTTGGTATTGGGCGGTCTTGGCATTGGGCAGGCCTGGTATTGGGCGGTCTTGGCATTGGGCGGTCTTGGCATCAGGCAATTTATTCCACACTTAAACATATGCATCTACAAATATACACAGTAAATTCTCTCAGCCAGGCAGTCTTGGCATTGGGAAGGCCTGGTATTACGTGGTCTTGGCATTGGGCAGGCCTGGTATTAGGTGGTCTTGGCATTGAGCAGGCCTGGTATTGGGTGGTCTTGGCATTGGGCAGGCCTGGTATTGGGCGGTCTTGGCATTGGGCAGGCCTGGTATTGGGCGGTATTGGCATTGGGCAGGCCTAGTATTGGGCGGTCTTGGCATTGGGCAGGCCTGGCATTGGGTGGTATTGGCATTGGGCAGGCCTGGTATTAGGTGGTCTTGGCATTGGGTGGTATTGGCATTCTCTCAGCCAGCTACTATGATTGCACAGACAACTGGGCACCTCTTCTGGGCGGTGGGTGTATAAATCTGTCATTGGTGGCCAGATAACCTTCTTTGTATGTAATCCATTTGTTTTGTAGTCGGGTGGGTGGGTGGGGGGGTTCGGGGGTAGCGAGAGTACTACCTTGTTCCTAACCCTTTGTTCACATGTTAGTAACTATGGATACATCATACAGTCATCATTGAGGTGTGTGGCCGGCTGTGTGCCCTCACCGATGGTCTGGTGTTTGGTCTCCAATGTTCAGGTCTGATGTCCGTGTTTTCTTCCTTGTAGGCCACAAATGGTTCCGGGACCTTCAGTGACTACTCCTCCTCTGTCCCCTCCACTCCCAGTATAAGCCAACGTGAGCTCCGTATTGAGACCATCGCGGCCTCCAGTACGCCAACTCCAATACGCAAACAAAGCAAGCGTCGGTCAAACATCTTCACAGTAAGTACATTGTGTCCAAATAACAGCCCACTCCGCTTTCCTTTCTAGGATCAGGGGGGAGGTGTAGGGCCAGAGCTAAGCTAAGGGCCACAGTGAAACCTTACTGGACATCACATGGTATACACAAGGTATGACAATGACTCCCCATTACCAACACAATGTCCTAGGGTCATGTGACCTTGTAGTCAGTCAGTACACAGTAATCGCACATCTAGAGCAGAAGAACCACACCGGACAGTTCTGTACTCAGACCGCAGAGAGGAACCGCATCCGAGCGCGTACTGCCACACCAGAGAGTAATGCTCCTCTATACCAGAGAGAGGAACCGCACCAGAGAGTAACGCTCCTCTATACCAGAGAGGGGAACCACACCGAAGAGTAACCCATATCTAGCGTGGAGAGAGGAACCGCACAAGAGAGTAACGCTCCTCTATACCAGAGAGAGGAACCACACCAGAGAGTAATGCTCCTCTATACCAGAGAGAGGAACCGCACAAGAGAGTAACGCTCCTCTATACCAGAGAGAGGAACCACACCAGAGAGTAACGCTCCTCTATACCAGAGAGAGGAACCGCACCAGAGAGTAACCCATATCTAGCGTGGAGAGAGGAACCACACCGAAGACTAACCCACATCTAACGTGGAGAGAGGAATCACACCGAAGACTAACCCATATCTAGCGTGGAGAGAGGAACCGCACCAGAGAGTAATGCTCCTCTATACCAGAGAGAGGAACCACACCGAAGAGTAACCCATATCTAGCGTGGAGAGAGGAACCACACCAGAGAGTAATGCTCCTCTATACCAGAGAGAGGAACCACACCGAAGAGTAACCCATATCTAGCGTGGAGAGAGGAACCACACCAGAGAGTAATGCTCCTCTATACCAGAGAGAGGAACCACACCGAAGAGTAACCCATATCTAGCGTGGAGAGAGGAACCACACCAGAGAGTAATGCTCCTCTATACCAGAGAGAGGAATCACACCGAAGACTAACCCATATCTAGCGTGGAGAGAGGAACCACACCAGAGAGTAATGCTCCTCTATACCAGAGAGAGGAACCACACCGAAGAGTAACCCATATCTAGCGTGGAGAGAGGAACCACACCAGAGAGTAATGCTCCTCTATACCAGAGAGAGGAACCACACCGAAGAGTAACCCATATCTAGCGTGGAGAGAGGAACCACACCAGAGAGTAATGCTCCTCTATACCAGAGAGAGGAACCACACCGAAGAGTAACCCATATCTAGCGTGGAGAGAGGAACCACACCAGAGAGTAATGCTCCTCTATACCAGAGAGAGGAACCACACCGAAGAGTAACCCATATCTAGCGTGGAGAGAGGAACCACACCAGAGAGTAATGCTCCTCTATACCAGAGAGAGGAATCACACCGAAGACTAACCCATATCTAGCGTGGAGAGAGGAACCACACCAGAGAGTAATGCTCCTCTATACCAGAGAGAGGAACCACACCGAAGAGTAACCCATATCTAGCGTGGAGAGAGGAACCACACCAGAGAGTAATGCTCCTCTATACCAGAGAGAGGAATCACACCGAAGAGTAACCCATATCTAGCGTGGAGAGAGGAACCGCACCAGAGAGTAATGCTCCTCTATACCAGAGAGAGGAACCACACCGAAGAGTAACCCATATCTAGCGTGGAGAGAGGAACCACACCAGAGAGTAATGCTCCTCTATACCAGAGAGAGGAACCACACCGAAGAGTAACCCATATCTAGCGTGGAGAGAGGAACCACACCAGAGAGTAATGCTCCTCTATACCAGAGAGAGGAACCACACCGAAGAGTAACCCATATCTAGCGTGGAGAGAGGAACCACACCAGAGAGTAATGCTCCTCTATAGCAGAGAGAGGAACCGCACCAGAGAGTAACGCTCTCTATACCAGAGAGAGGAACCACACCGAAGAGTAACCCATATCTAGCGTGGAGAGAGGAACCACACCAGAGAGTAATGCTCCTCTATAGCAGAGAGAGGAACCGCACCAGAGAGTAACGCTCTCTATACCAGAGAGAGGAACCACACCGAAGACTAACCCACATCTAACGTGGAGAGAGGAACCACACTGAAGGCTAACCCACATCTAACGTGGAGAGATGAACCGCACCAGAGAGTAACGGACTTCTGGACCGAAGAGGAAGAAACCACACAAGAGGGTAACACACATCTAGGCTAGAGAAAAGGAAACCACACTGGACAGTAACGGACTTC